TTAATTTAATGGAATTTAATTTAATTTAGTTAAGATTGTAGCATCTAGGTTTTAATTTTTCATTTCATACATTAATTTTTTTCGAAAAGTAATAATTTTTGACAGAGTTACTTTTACAACATTAACTCTCATTACACACATTTCAAAAAAGTCCCTATCTACTCATATCCGGATATATGTAATGCCATGTTTCCTTTTACTTGTACCTCAGATTGTAGTGCATTGATTTTAACTAATTTTTTTTAATCTATCATTTGAAGACTGAAAAAAAAAAGAATTTTTGAGTTAGAAAGTCTAAAATATCGTAGTACAAAAGATATTTCGCAATAAATGATAAAGAATCAGAAAAAAAACGTGAAAAAAACCGAGATTTTTTTCAAAATCTCATCTTTTTATTAAAAATAAATGAAAAAAAATTTTGTTAGTGATGAATCAACAGCTAATAAGTTGAATTTTAAGAAACTATAACTTTTTGCGATTTGTTCTAAAAACGATATTTTTTTTGCAAAGTAAAAACGAATGATTTTTCAATTTTATAAAAACTAATCATAAAACTGAAAATCTTTGAATTTTGATAGAAATAAATAAAAAAAAGTGATCCTATCCTTCTTCTATGGTAAATATTAACAATTTACTATTATATTTAATATTAATAATTACAATAATTATTAATAAAATTATTAATAAAAATAGCTTATAAAAAAATGGCGAAGGGGAAGATATTACATTAAAAAAAAACTTATATAAAGAAAAAGATTGTAATTTTGCAACAATGTATAAGATATTATAGCATCATGAATATGCATACTTGTTTCTAGAACATCTGTATAAGAAAAAATCAACAATTTAATGATATCAATCGGATATATTCCCAGATACTAATGATATTCGACTCTCGAATAGAAAAAAGTGACGGATAATATCGGATACTGGATATTTTCCTGATATCCGGTGCATCCCTACTCTACACTACATTAGATACTGGTTGTATCGTGGCGTATTTGCCGCGAGAGCCATTAATGAGAAAGAAGAGGAAGTCTTTTTTTGATATTAAAAACACAATAAAATTGATCTTAAATCATTTTTTTATGGTGTACATGATTAAAATCATAAAATCATCCAATTAATCATTTCTACTTACATTTCAACTTTGCAGTAAATCTGGATTTTCTGACATTGTTCTCACAAGATAACCCCAACATGCACCGTATTTACACCGTACAATTACATAATTAATGGCGCATTAGAAGGTCGCCAAGCAAGGGAATTATAGAAGTGATACATAAGTTTCCCCCCTTTCTTACTATGATAACGTTGTTAAATTTGACGCTGAGTCACAATCATATCCAATTATTCCATAAATTTTTTTAGCCCAAACTATTATTATGATTATTGTAATTATTCTTCTAATCTATCTGAAAGATTAAGTTATTTATTTATTATTTCTTTAATTTGATGCTGATTTAATATAAGAAATACGCAGTCGATTAGGATATACAATACGATTATTTTTCTTTATTTTAATTTTCACATTATTCCTATTTAAAATCTCTACATGTAATCCTGATATATTAGGAGTACAAATTAGTTCGGTCCGTCTTCCAAAAGATGGCTCCGGCTGTTGTGAATGGTTCATAGTGACAACTGATTTTGGCGTTTTCAGAGAGACATCTGCTAGACATCTGCTAATAATATTCAGTTTATATCGCTTTGAGTTTCATACAAAAACCTTGATTTATATTGTGTTTGAAATGTCGAATTTTGTGTTAACAAGCAGCATTTGCGGGAGCTTCTAATTTTTTGCTTTAATTGGAAGAAAAGTGCAGTTGAAGCCCATCGAATGCTTGTCGAAGTTTATAGTGACACTGCTCCAACTGATAAATCATGTAGGGAATGGTTTCGACGTTTAAGGAGATTTTAGCTTTGAAGACAAGCCTCGCTCTGGACAGCCAAAAAAATTCGAAGACAAAGAATTAGAGGCATTACTTGAAGAAGATCAGAGTCAAACGCAAAAGGAGCTTGCAGAATCATTGGGAGTAACTCAATAAGCCGTTTCTGCACGATTGAGAGCCATGGGAATAATTCAAAAACAAGGAAATTGGATGCTTTATGAACTAAAGCCGAGAGAGTTGAAAGGCGATTTTTCACTTGCGAACAGCTGATTCAAAGAAAAGGTTTTTTACATCGCATTGTGACTGAAGATGAGAAGTGGATATTTATGATAACCCCGATAACCAGGATAAAGAAGAAAAAATACTACGCTAAGTCAATCGTTGCCATCGACCTCAACATCAATACCAAAGCCGAACATTCATGGTTCCAAGATCATGCTCTGTATCTGGTGGGACCAAAAGGGTGTTGTTTACTATGAGCTGCTGAAACCTGGCGATTCCCATTCCGGCCCGTCGATAGCGGCTACAATTGATTCGTTTGAGCCGTGCATTGCGAGAAAAACGGCCAGAATACGAGCAAAGACATGATAAAATTATTTCTCTTCATGACAACGCTCGGCCTCATGTCGCAAAAGTCGTAAAAAAATATTTGGAAACGCTCAAATGGGATGTTTTACCGCATCCGCCATATTCTGCGGACATTGCTCCTTCTGATTACTGGTTGTTCCGAAGGATGCAGCACGATTTGGCAAGTCACCGATTCACTTTTCCAAAATTGGATCGCCTCCAAAGACGAGTCATTTTTTCGAGATGGAATTCGAAAATTGCCTGAGAGATGGGAAAAAGTAGTAGCCAGCGATGGACAATACTTTAATTAATCTGTTCATTCATTTTGCAATAAATGTATTTTTGAACACAAAAAAACGGACCGAACTAATTTGTACTCCCAATACTAATCTCTGAACTTACCAGGTTTCAGTTCTTTTCATAAAAATACCAAATCTCCTGATTTAAAAGTTTGTAAATTGATCTTTTTATCATAATACCTTTTAGATTTAATTTTAGATTGAACTAAATTCTTACGGGCGTTTGCTTGAATTGCACGTAATTGAGTTACTAAGCTTATTAAGTATTCGTCGTAATTTGCTAATTTATCTTCAGGACTTATTGGATGGAATTATCGCTATTTTTCCAAACACTAATTCATATGGAGTATGTTTGATAGCTTTGTGAACACTGGTATTATAATTGAACATCGCTAAACTTATCCATCTATCCTATTGTTTTTGTCCATTTGTATACTGTTTAAGATATTCTTAGAGCATGATCTTTTTAACGATCCACTGGATTGAGGTTGAAAACGCAGTTGTTTGTAATTTACGTATCTTGAATATTTTGGCATTCTTTTTCATTAAAAAAAATTATAATAAATTCAGCAATTAGGGAATTAGCGCTAATACGTGCGCAATCAATTTCAATATTATTGAATTGTATCTATCCTAATTTAATTATTGATTTGTAGTATAGATGTTTTAATTAACTTTTTAGCCATCCTCAGTACAAATAATTTCTTGTGGAAACGTAAGTGTTGAGATATAAAATTAAGCTACGATAGTTGCATGGTTTCCTTATTTTTATTAGGTGTTGGAATTAATTCGTAGCGTTTTACAAGTGATGGGAAGTACTTTCATTAATGTATTTTTTAATGCTCATGTGAAATAAATAACATTCTTTCATTAAAAAACGCTACGAATTAATTCCAACACCTAATAATATCCGCAATCTTTCCTTGAAAAGTGGTCAATTTTCACTACTTTGAGAAACGCAACCAGTTGATTAGCTGGATGCAACCGTGATTAAGCGTCTTCAATTGATTCCACAAGTTTATAAATAAATTCTAAGTACACTCGTTAGAATAAGGATGTTATCTCACTTTCATCAAACCACTGCCGATACACATTAATGATATAAATTCTTAGTTATTGTAATTAAAAGAAAGCTTCGCAATAAATTATTAGTCGTATTGCAACATAGGTTGCAGTACAATCATGAATATGATTGGGACGACATTGAAATCTTGACACCGAACGAAAAACAATAAACGATTAATGTCAGAAATGATTCACATAAAGCGATAAACTAAGATTTCATTCTTGGACAAGACATATGAATCAATCTTAAAGATGCTTTAATTTTCTTAACTATATAAACAATTTTTATGACATATGACGCTCAACAACGACTTTCGGAAAGACCTTAACATTTCACAGTTTAAGTTAGACAAGAGTTCGGTGCGTGTCTTTGACCAGTACGGACGTATCTGCGTTTAGTGTCGCGTCGTGTGTTGCATCATCCGCTCTTTTCAGAGCGATCTGTGTCTTTTGAGTCATTAATTGACTCGCATTCTCACTTATCTCCTTTCTATTTGCGCCTAACTCTCCTTGCACATACTTTTAGCGGTATTTTGGGAGACTATGAGTGTGCCTCCCATAGGAGGCGGGATCCCGGTGGGTCTCTCTCTCCCCCTCCCTTGGTTTCTGCAAACGGTGTCACTAGTGTTTCGGTCGAACATTTTGATACCTTCGCTAAAGAAATACTTGCTGGGGCAACGAACGACACGTGTGAGCAGATGGACGTTACAATTGACCGCGCTGCCAAAAGAGCCAATGAGAGCTTGGTGCTTGAGCGCGAACACGAATATGCCAAGCGCCGTAATGGACCGGGCCTGAGCCCGGACAAAGCTATTTCTGTCTCTGTCTCTGTCCCGCTATCTGACAGTTTGGCACGTGCTCAACAAGCTTCTCACAACCTTTCTGACAACAGATATGGTCCGACGCGTACTTTTTATTGTCCATATGCAGGTGAGCAGCGATTGCATAACCGAGAGCGCGTTCGAAGTTTTAATGAAGAGACAAATCGCTAAAGTTGTGCACTCGGACATAGTATCTATGAAAAAGGTCTCGCAAAATTTCGGTTGAAATGCGCACTTATGAAGCAGCCTTGTGACTAACCCTGACTTCATCAAGGCAGGATACTCAATCTTTATTTCTACATTTAAGATAATGCGCTCAGGTATAATAAGAGGTGTTCCGATTTCTGTAACGGATCAAGAACTTAAATTAAATCTTAAATCTTCTTGTCATGTAACCGAAATTAAAAGGCGCGTTGTTAAGGAAAATGGTGTCGAATACACTCCTTCCACTTCAGTTAACCTTAAATTTGCTGGGCAGATTCTTCCCAGGCAAGTATTTCTTTTCTATGATTCCTACGACTTCTATGAAGTCCTACCTTTTGTCCCTAGAGTTAAAACATGCTTTTCTTGCTTCAGAATTGGCCACATTCGGAAGTTTTGCAAGAGTCGTTCGAGATGCAGGCTGTGTGGTAAGGATGCTCACAAAGAAGACGAGACGTGTGAGAGGCAAAACCCCCCCCCCCCCCAAATATATCAATTGCTCTGGAGATCATATCACTACGTCAACAAATTGCCCTCTCTTTATTAAACAAAAAAAAGTACAGACAATCGCAGCCATCGAAAATATCTCTCTTGTGGATCCTAGGATTAGGCTATCGTCTACTGACTCTCGATCTACTTTTAGATCTAGCGCTGACTTAGGTAGTACTCGTAGTTCACTTTGCGGATGATGATTATCATAATTTCCCTTTACTTCCATCAAAGAATGGTAGCACCTCTCATTCGTTCGCCAGTTATAATAAGTTTTCCCCTCTAGAAAATGCAGACATCTCTAGATTATCGTACGCCAAAGCCTCTACTAAAAGTTCTACTCCTCGCACGTCATCCGAACATCCTCAGTCCCTACGTCAGAGAGCAGATGTTTCCCGACCACAATCTCCTCTCCCATCTTCGTCGCGAAATAACTATAAACTCGTACAGGACCTCCCCATATCCAAGTCATTTCCCTCTCGTAATACTAATAATACTAATAATAACTCTATGTTTGAGATCGGTAATTCGAAAGAAAAGCAAGAATTCTTTCAGTCGACCGACAGTAATTGTCATTAACCGCACACATAAATTGAGCTCGTGATTTCATCTCGAGCATGATCTAAATCCTCGATAAAAATCAGCGATTTAGCGTTCTTTGTTCTTTTTAAAAACAATTCGTTACACGCAAACAAGTTGTCGTTATCGGCAACGGACAATCGAAAGTTCTAGAACGATTCAATTCGCGCACGCGAGCGCCGCGCTCCGACGAATACGTCACGCGCTGTCACCAATCCCACGCACGGATTTTCTGTCGCGCATGACTGTTACGTTGAACGTCGTTAGAAAAGAATCCAAAGCGCCAATCAATTTTGTACACCTAATGCCACGTAATAATTACGATTGTGGCAAATTTTTATTGGATTTTTCCCAAAAAAGAAAGCTCAGGCCGAAAGCAATAAATGCTTCGATCTCGCCTTCCTCCTTCTTACTTCTAAAAAGTTCTTAGAGTCCTTAGTTCTTAGAGTCTAAAAGTTCTTAGAGTTCTTAGAATCATAATCTCGCTTCGTAAAATCGCCGTGCTAACCGCTTAGTGAAACCGCTATAAAACGAATCTTTCGAGAAGTGCCGAGAAAATCGCCGAGATTTTTCATCACCGTGATTCCAAATTGTATTGGGAAAAGGTGACCGCATTTAATATTCTGTCAATCTAATATTTAATTAATTATATTTGTTGAATTTGTAATTGTGCATATTAAAGAAAATTCTTTTGTTAAATTACAAAGAAACTGAGTTCTCTTTACTGTCGTGTATCATACCAGCCGTGTGCCGGTGTCTCTCACTCGAATCTTTTCGCGCGGTGCACTCTCGCACACTCTAAGTCATTAGAGTTTTTGGAAGAAGCCAGGAGGGAATATCTGATATCTCCGAATGGCAGAGCTCCTATATCAAGAGACGGCGTCCTTCTTAATCATGATCGAACTAATCATCCACGAAATAACTATCATTACGAACATGATGCCCTTCCTGCCGGACATATAGATGTGGCCATGTTCTCTGTGCTCTTTAAGCAATTTTTAAACCATATAAGCTCATATATAGAACAGCACCCCCCTCGCTTCTACCGACACCCGATTGACTATGACGATCCGCGCACTTATTGTGATAATCATCAAGCTGACCCTCCCGCTTTTTGTAACGATCGCGCTTACAATTATTACTAATTTTTCGGCGGGATAGCTATTGCTATTAAAAAATCTCTTCGTTTCAATCTTCTTGACCTTACTCATCTTGGCCATCATTCAATCGAGCTCATCGATATCAAGCTTTACATTCAAGGCCCCTCCTTTATCATTATTAACATATATAGACATCCATCGTCACGAATCCCTCCTACTTGATTATGTTGCGAATCAATCCTATGTGAATCCTCCTAGGCGATTTCAACTTGCATAACGTAGCTTGGAGCTGTTCGATTACTAATTCTCTTGGCAAATACCTTTTAAACTTCCTCGAAGATCGTAATCTTATTATCTGCAACGATCATAAACCTACCTTTTGACCCCTCCCGACTCGCAAATATCAATCATCTTTGTCGTAACGCCTCCCGACTCTTAGTAACTGTTATACCGAACTCGACTCCATCTCTAGTGATCACTTTCCTGTTGTTATTAACCTGAATGTTCTCCCTTGCCTAAGAACTACATTCAAATATAAAATTAAACTTAATTCTCTTCAAATGAAGGTCTTTATTCACAAGTTAACTTGTATTGACTTTGCCTCTATTTTAACCACAGACGATGCTACCTCTCAGTATGATAGTTTTGTAAAAGAGCTCAAACGCACTCTAAACTCTCTGTTCCCTCCTGGATCACGTACTCCGAAATCAAAACCGATAATTTGAGAAACGTCTCCCCCCCCCCCTTGGTGGACCGAAGAATATCAGGCCGTGGTTAACGCCAGACGCGAGGCAAAGAGATTCTGGAACCGCCAGTCAAGTTCAAAAAACTATAACGCTTATAAGCGCACTGCTTCGGCATGTAGATGCGTCCTCCAGAAGAACCAAGAGAAGGAAATGGAAGGAACTATGCAACAGTTTTAACGCTGATACTCCGTCCGTTAAAATTTGGAGATTGGTCAAAGCTTTTAAAAACCGACAGGAAAATGCAATTAATAAAATCTGTCCTCCCTCTTGTAGTCCTCGAGATACCGTCTCAGAGTGTATCCTTCTCGAAGAAAATACCCCCACGCAGTGCGAAAGCGCTAAATTCTTAGATAATCTTTTTACTATGAAGGAGTTACTCTTAGCTATTGATTCAGCCAAAACTAGATCAGCTTCAGGGGCCGATCAGACTATAACATATATAATGACAACATATAATGACTATAACATCATTAAGAACTTAAGGTAGTATAAAAGAAGGGCAAAGAGCCAATGACGTATATAAAAAAATTATAATTTAGATAAGCAAACTTAATACAAAAACAATTAAAATACAATAAAATAAAACAAACGTTTCAACTCCAATTGAGTCATTTTCAATGCCATCATACAGTAATATAAATGTCGTTCTAAATTAAAAATTCGTACATAATCTTACAATATTCTTACAATTCCTTAACAAAAATTTCTTTCTTCTTTCTGTGTAATACGCTGTGAGTCATTTTTATCAAGAATTAACAAAGTCATAAGAAAGTTCTGGAAAAGTAACCGTAAACAAAAAGAATTAATATTAATCACATAAAAATTAAAAATATGATGATATACCTTAGTAAATCTGTTAAGAGTCCCATAATACACAAGGAGAAAAAAATGTAAAATGTAGTCCATTTCGTGGTACAATAAAAAAGTCTTTTTAATTTAATAGGTTATTATAAGCAAATTCGTAAAGGTAACGAGCATGACTTAAACGATGTCACAAAACGAAATGATAAATTATATATATATACATATATATATATATATA